TCGCGCCCCCCCCGCGCCCTTGCGCCCGTCCCGGTCCCGGTCCCCCGGCGGCGGCCCCGACGGCACCGGCGGCGGCGACTCCGGCTTCTTCGTCGGGTCCTTCGCGTCCACGAGCGTCGCCCACGCGTCCGGGGCGACGCCGGCGACGGCCGCCGCGGGGGCGTCGGGCGGCGCCGTCGTCGGCTTGCCCCACGCCGGTTTCGTCGGCGCGGCGGCGGCGACGGCGGAGCCGCGCGTCGTCGACGACGGCGCGCCGCCGCCGCCCGCGCCGCCTCCTTCGCCGCCTCCGTCGCCGGCGGCGGCGCTCTTCTTCCCGCCGCCGCCGTCGCCCGGCGGCGGCGGTACAGCTGGCGCCGCGGAGCCCCCCACGTCATCATTCGCGCTGCTGCTCTTCCCGTCCGAGCGTCCTCCTCCCGCGGTGCCGCCTCCGCCGGACGCGCTCGCGCGGACGATCTGCGACCACGGCGCGTTCGTCGGGCGCGACGGCGCCGACGGCGCGGCGTGAGCGGTCTGCGGTTCGCGACGCGGTCGGAGGGTCGTGAGCGTCGACGACGACGGGGGGAGACGCGCGCGCGCGCGCGAGGAGACGGCATCATCGTTCGACGACGCGAGGAGGGACATCGCGCGCGAGGGTTTGGGTTTTTCCGTCGTCGCGGCGACCGGAGACGCGCGCGTGCGCGGCGACGACGCGGGGTTCGAGCGCGCGCGCACCTTGGACGGTTCCGCGTTGACGTTCGCGTCGTCTTTCTCGCGCGGCGTCGACGCGGACGCGGGCGCCTCGGACGACATCTCGCGCGCGCGCGACCCCGTCACCGCGTTAGACAGACGAGACGCGAATGGAAGGAATGCGAGCGATTCCGCGCGATGGCACCGCTCCGGCGCGTCGCCTCCCGCGCTGGTATTCACCGAACGACCGAGCGCGCCTTCGCGCGTGCTCGCACCGCGAGGTCGCGACGAAGCGTTCCCGAGACGTTCGCGCGTTCGCGCGCTCGCGCGTTCGCCTGTGACGCCGCGAGCGACCGCCTTCGCGCGGTCGAGCGAGCCCTAACTAACGGAGGGAAGAGCGCGAGAATGTCTGATGCGGTTGCGAGCGTTTTAGTGTTGTGGCCGATGAGTTACGTGAGGTTATGGGCACTCCCCTCTGGTTCGAACTATTAGTCGTTGACATCGAATTCCTCTCGGTCGGGTCGCGCGCCCGCCGCGTCCGCACACGCACCGGACGCCGCCGCACGCACGCACGGCACGGACGGTCGCACCCCACGCGCGCCCACGCCCACGCCGATCATGAGCGGCACAGGGCGCTCCTCCTCGCGGCCGTCGACAGCGGGGCCGACGCGGCGGTCGGGAGGGATGTCGTCCAGGCACGTCTCGTTCCCGGAGGACCCCGCGATCGAGGTGGACCGAAAGCTCAGCGCGATGTCGAAGAGCAAGAACCGCGCCGCCGCGGAGGGCGCGGCATCGCGCGCGGAAGCCGCGGCCGCGGCGCGGCTGCGCGAGGGCGGCGGCGGCGCGAAGGAAGCGGCGCGGGAGAGCACGGAGAGCCTCGAGGTGAGTCACCGTCGCGTCGCCCGAGCCGTTCGTCCGTCGATTTGAATTAATGAACGCGCCCCACCCGGGGCGAGGAGCGTCGCGGCGAGACGCCGTCCGCGGTCGTCTCGCCTCCGTCCCCGCGTATCGCGTCCCCGCGCGCGTCCCCGCGCGTCGCCTCCCCGCGTATCTATCGCGTCCCCGAACCCCCCCTGACGCTCTCACTTCCCCCACCCCCGCGCGCGATCCTTCCTTCCCATCCCCAGGCGTCGATGGCGCGCTACCGCGACCACAAGCCGCTGGACCAAAAAAAATGGAGCTTCGACGGCTTGCACCCGACGCAAGTCCCCGAGGGAAACCACTACAAGCACCTCGAGCCGCACAAGCCCGGCGCGCCGGAGATCGAGCCGAGTAAGATGATGCACGACGACGACGACGACTTCGACCTCGCCGCGGTGGAGCGCGAGCGGAAGCGAGAGGCGTACGTCGCGAAACTCGAGTCGGAGCTCGCGAGCATGAAGCGCGCCGTCGCGGGGCTGGGCGACCCGCTCGAGGTGGCGATGGAGGTGGCGCGCGCGAAGGCGACGACGACGATGACGACGACGCCCGCGGAAGCGCAGACCGAGAGCGACGGGTCGCTCGCGGAGCACCTCGCGGCGTCGGGTAAGGCGACCGCGGCGTCGTTGCGGCCGCTGAGGTGCGTTCTATCTCACACTGGTCCCCGTACGACCGCGTTGGCGTGGTGAACGCCGTTTCTTAAGGACTTTGCCCGGCGCATCTCTCCGACCACCCCTCGCTTTCAATCTCCGGCCTCTGCGCCTTTCAACTCCAACTGACGCCTTTCAACTCCACCCTGGAACGACCCTCAGCGCGAAAGCGGAGGCGAGGGGACGCGAACGCGAGCGGGAGCGCGCCGCCGCTCGAGCCGTCGCGGAAGGCTCGCCGCTGCCTTCGGTGGATAACCCGCGACCGAGCGTGGACGACCTCGAGCTCGCGAAGGCGATCTTCAGCGACGACCGGCTCGCCGCGTTCGAGGCTGCGCTCGAGGCGAAGTTTAAGGCGAGCGGCGGGTACGACTCGGACCTGTCGCCGCCGGTCAAGGTGCGTTATATCTCACACTGGTCCCCATACGACCGCGTTCGCGTGGTGAACGCCGATCCTTAAGGACCTTGCCCGTCGTCTCTCTCCGCCCAGGGTCCCTCGCTTTCAATCCCCGCCCTCGACGCCTTTCAACTCCAACTGACGCCTATGAACTCCACCCCGACTTCGCTTTGTATGGAAAGGCGCCGAGGGCGAAGACGCCCGAGCCCGCGCGCGAGTCGTTCGAGGAGCAGAACGCGTGGATGGACGAGTACCGCGCGCGCGTCGCGGACGAGAAATCGAAATCGAAATCGAAATCGAAATCGTCCACTCCCGCCGTCACCGCCGCCGAGTCGAAGAAGAAGGATGACGAAGCGGACGCGGACGCGGACCCGTTGGTGTCCGTCTCCGCGGCGGAGATGGAAGCGGCGCGACGCGCTGTCGACTCCACGCGCATTCGCGCGCAGTCCGCCCCGCGCGCGCGAACGCGCGCGCATAAACACTGCGCGGCGTACCTCGGCGAAGGCCCGCACGGCGACGGGCTCCCGCGACCGAAGGAGCTCATCGATCGCGCCATCACCAAGCCCAAGCCGTTTTCGTTCGAGGCGCGCGAAAAGACCAAGACGAAGACCATCAGCGAACAGCGACTGGAGCAAGACCTCGCGATCGCGGCCGAGCTGGAGCGCATCACGATCAACAAGCCGTTCAAGGCGACGTCGATCCCGCGATCCACGGTCGAGCCGCGGTATCAGCGAATGATCGAGAGGGAGACGATGAAACGCGAGGAGCGACGCGAGAGCCGCAAAGCCGCGCTCGTGGAGAGCGAGAAGCCGTTTTCGTTTTACCTGCGCGACAAGGAAGCGAAGCGGTACACGCTCGAGACAGCCGCGGAGAGGACCGCGCGACGCGCGAACAAGTTCCAGAGGGCGTTCAAGGCTAAGGAGATCCCGGCCGCGGTGAAGGCGTTGAAGCTTGGCGACATCGAAGCGCGCGACGCGCGACGAAAGGAGGCGGCGAAAGCCGCCGCGGTGGCGAAGCTCGCGCAGAGCCGCCTCCCCGAGCGCATGGCGCTCCACGCGAACGAAGGCGGAGGAGGCCACGGCCACGGCGCTTCTTCTGACGCGTCGAAGCCGGAGAAAAAGCCGAAGTGGAGCTTCAAGCCGGCGCCCGCGAAGGAGGTGCCGGACTTTGACGCGTTGCACGAAAAGTTTTTCCGCCGGCTGCAGAGCGCGCGCGGCGATTTCGTAGCCACCGTGCCGCGGGAGTTTCGCCTCAGGGAGCACACCAAGGAGGAGAAGGAGGCCATCAGGCGCAAGCTCAAGTCGGACATCGCGGCGGACGAGGAGAATTTGCCGGAAAACAGGTGGCCGTTCGCGAGCTTGCGGGCGAAGGTGCACCCGTCGCCGCCGCCCGCGTTTTCCTCCCCCGGGGAAAACTTCTACAAGAAGAATGAAAACCTCGCGACTAAGCTCCGACGGCAGGCGATGCTCAAGCAGCGCCAGGCGGGGCACTACGCCACGCGCGCGGAGAAAGAGGCGAGGGAGGACGCGGCCAGGGAGAGGGACGCGAAGCGTCGCGCCGCGGCGTGGGCGCACTCGCAGGTGGCCAACGCCGGCGCGAAGGCGCTGGACGCCGACGGCGGGACCAAGGGCCCGGGCGGGAAGTTGGCGGGCGCGCGCGCGAACGCGAAGGGCCCCGCGGATCAGCATCGCGCGGCGAGGCACGCGCAGCAGGCGACGCTCGCGAGGGAGACGGTGGAGAAGGTTTTGCTGGAGAACGACGTGTACACGTACGTCGAGGAGGGGGAAGACGGGCCGTTTTGAGAGGAGCGAGAAGAGGGAGAAGAGGGAGAGGATGGATTGTACATTCCCGACGCGCGGCGGGCGAGAGAAGAAGGGATAGAAAACCGGGCGACCGCCCCCGCCGCCGGTAGCCGGGGACGCGTAGAGCGCGAAGAAGCGTCGATCGCGTTCTGTTTAAATATAACACAGCACTACTCGCGGACGGACGGACGGGAAAATGAAAATAGAAACGCGGCGTCGACGAGCGTTTCACCTCCTCTCCTCCGACGCGACCCCGAAAAGGCACCCAGCCTGGCGCTTTCTTCGTCCGCTCCTGTCTCAGAGAAGAGAGCGCTCCCGTTTGGCATTTCACTGTACTTTGAAGTCACCAACCACCGCGGCGACGCTTCACTTCCCGCGCCGCGGCTCACCGCGCGCGCGTCATGCCGTTCGGCCGCCTCTTCGGCGGCGGGTTCTCGTCGTCCAAATGCAAGACGTCGCTGCGTCTGTGCGTCGGGCGCATCAAGCTCCTACGGAACAAGAAGTCCCTCGCGACGCGCGCGCTGATCTCCGAGGTCGCGGATCTCCTTCGCGCGGAGAAGGATGACGCCGCGCGCGTCCGCGTGGAGGGCGTCATGCGCGAGGAGGGCGTCCTCGAGGTGTTCGAGATCCTGGACGTCTTCTTAGAGCTCCTCATCGCGCGGCTCCCGATGATCGAGGCGTCCAAGGACGTCCCCGCGGACCTCAGAGAGGCGCTCGCGACGGTGATGTTCGCGGCGAGTAAACTAGCCGCGGAGCTCCCCGAGCTCGCGTCGCTCCGCGAACAGTTCGCGGTCAAGTACGGCAAGGCGTTCGCGAAGGCGTGCTCGGACGACGCCACCGCGGGCGCGTGCGGCGCGAACGCGATCGCGTGCGCGCGGCTGGCGACGCGATCCCCGGACCCTCTGAAGAAGGTGGAGAGGCTCGCGGTCATCGCGGACGAACACGGGATCGACGCGTTCGACGTCGCGGAGGCGACGAAGCGAACGCTCGCGAGCGCGGCGCCGCCGTTAGGGACCATGGGCGGCGGCGCGCAGGACGTGTCGCGTCAGGTGGTGCCGCAGCACGTCGCGATGCCGATGCCGATGCCGCAGCCGGTGACGTACGTAGGCGTAGGCCAGCCGCAACCGCAACCGGCGGCGGTCGCGGTGATGGTACAACAGCCCGCGGTGCAGTTCAACACCGCGGGTGAGGCTGCGGCGTACGCCGCCGCCGCCGCGGACGACGCGAGGAACGCGGCCGCGGCGGCGGCGGTGCTCGCGGGCGCGCCGTCGCCGGAGGCGCGGCGCGCGGCGGGCGACGCGAACTCGACGGTGGCGTCGGAGTCGACGACGGCGGCGGATGAAGAAAACGGCGCGGCGGACGAGGTGGAGGTGGACGCGATCGTGGACGCCGCGAAGGAGCTCGCGGAGCTGGACCGCGCGGACGCGGCGTACTTGAACGAGCTCACGCCGCCGAAGAACGGGAAGGACGGCGGCGGGAGCGACGGCGGCGGAGGGGGCGGCGACGGCGGCGGCGGCGGCGCGGGCGGCGGCGGCGACGGCGCGGCCGGCGGCGACGCGGCGAAGCCTCCTCCTCCTCCTCCTCCTCCTCCCGGGAGCGCGGAGAAGAAGGACGGCGGGACGATGGACGATCTCACCGAGCGTCTGAACGCGCTGAAGCGGCGGGATTAAGGAGGGGATGACGACTAGGTACTGTAGAAGAAGAAGAAGAGAGGGAGGGAGACAGGCACGTTCGTTTTTTTTTACGCCGAGCGCTCGCGCTCTCTCCCCTCCCCCGGCAGCCCGGTGACGTCGACGACGACACCAGTCACGAATTGTTAACTCAAGAAAATGTCCCTGTGCGCACACCTTTATGCTCGGGATTGCACTTTTTACTATCCGTCTCGGTTCGTACGATTTTTTTAGACTAATTGCTCTGTGAAAATATCTCCCGTACGTCTTCAGAGAGCAATTAGTCAGAAAAATTTCGCTGACTCGGACGAATTTGTACGTGCGGTTCGGCGCGAAATTTCAGCCAATCGCATCGCTCGGCGATCTTCCGCGACCAACCCGAAACGCGCAACCCTCGGCCACGTTTCGTTAAAGCGCGAAACGCCGCGTCGATTCCTCATTCTTCCCCGCACACCGGCGTCTCGCGCGTCGACCCCAGCACACAGTCGCGACTCCGTTCGCGCATCCCCCGCACACACCGCGTCGCTCACCGCACGCGCACACCGCACACGCGCGTTTCACGCGTTCCCGCACACACCGCGCGCGCCATTCCGCGCGTCTGAATCCAGCGACGATGGAAACACTGATGAAGGAAAAACACAAGGACGCGCGCGCGCGCGTCGCGAACGAGGACGCGCTCTTCATGGTGACCGTCCGCCCGAAAGACGAGTCGAACGCGACGTCCACCGACGACGCGAAGATCTTCACGAGCCTGATGCCCGAGAACGCGGTGACGCTCGTGGACGAGCGCGGAGGCATGGGCGCGGTCAAGCCGTCGCGCGTGCAGCTCCTCACGAAATCGCGCGTCTCCGTCGCGCTCTTCTCGCACACGCTCCTCGCGGAGGAGATCGTCGACAGGTTCATCGCCGCGCGCGACGCGCACCTGGACGACCCGAAAGCCCGCGCGAAGGCGCTGAAGGACATGCTCGCGGAGCTCCACGCCGCGGACCACGTGTTTTCGTTCGCCGTCTTTGACGACTCGGCGAGAGCGTTCGCCGCGTGGTGCGTTTTATCTCACACTGGTTCCCATACGACCGCGTCGGCGTGGTGAACGCCGATCCTTAAGGACTTTGCCCGGCGCATCTCTCCGCCCAGGGTCCCTCGCTTTCAAACCCCGCCCTCGACGCCTTTCAACTCCACCCTGACGCCTTTCAACTCCACCCCGACTCGACTCCTCAGGACGCCCCGAGGCGCGCCGCTCTCATTCGGCCACCGCGAAGACGGCAGCGTCGTCGTCGTCGCGAACCAGCCGCGGTCGCGCACGCTCGTCGGGACGCACCACGGCGTGAAGCTCGCGCATCTCCCCGCGGGGAGGTTTATCTACGGCCACTCGTTCCTGAAGCCGTTCGAGTTCACGTCCATGTGGGCGTCGGCGGAGGCGAACCGCGGCGGCGCGGCGGCGCAAACCGCGCCGGCGTCGCCGACGCTCGGAGCGATCGATAACCTGGACAAGCCGAAGCTGAGCCCCGTGGAGTCGCGCGACTGGCGGTGGGCGAAGACGGGGAGCCGCGCGGAGGTTGAGGACAGGTGGACGACGAAGAAGACGCCGCGGTCGGTCGTCATGAACGCGGCGGTCGCCGAGAAGGAAAACGTCGTCGTCGAGAAGAAATTCTGCCCCAAGGAGATCGCCGCGACGATCGCCGCGATCGCCGAGGAGGTCGCCGCGGAGTCCGCGCTCCAAGCGGACGCGCCCATCTTCTCGCCGCTCCACGCGGACGCGCCCGCGTTCGCGCCCGTCTCCCCGGAGCTCGCGGCCAAGGCGAGAGAGACGTTCGCGTGGGGCGCGGTTCTCCTGCGCAACATGGTCAACGAGCGCGCCGTCAACAGATTTATGACGCGCGCGGACAAGAAGTTCATGACGGTTCTTCTCATGCGCGCGGCGGCGTTCACGCCGCTGTCGTCGTCCTCGGAGGAGCGCGCGAAGGCGCTCGCGGACGCGCTGCTCAGCGCGAAGGATTCCGAGGTGGACTCTACGGTGGTAACCGCGCCGGCGGCGTCCATCGCGACGGCGACCACGAAGGGCCTCGCGCACGCCGTGCAGTCGACGACGAGAGAGATCACGAAGAAGCTCGTCAAGAAGCAGTCGTCGCGGACGTCCGCGCTCGCGCTGCCGGCGAAGAGGGCGACCGTCGCGGTCGGGAACGGCGGCGGGGAGTCGTCCGTCGTCGTGTGCGACCTCAACGGACGCTGCTGCGTCGGCAACCAGTGCTTCGTGTAATACGCGCGCGGCGGTTGGCGTCGGCTTTTTCGCGTGAATTTGTTGTTCGTCGCGCGCGCGACGCGCGAAGCGCGAACGGGGGAGGATGCCCCGCTCGCTCGCGCGCGCTCGCGATGTTGTTTGTTTTTCAATTTGTACCACGAGAGGGATACAGTACGTACTACTGTAAGGGATGGCCGCGCAGAGGGGCGGCGGCCGGCGTTTGTTTCGATTACAAGACGGGCGGAAGTGTGATATCAGTTTTCAATTTTACCGGCGGCGGGGCGCGAGTCGCGCGTCGCCGGGTGTACCACGAGAGCGTTTCAGAGGATGTTAGCCATAGAGTTTGTGCGATAATACGTGCGAACACTCCTCTTCATTACAACGTGCGCGTGTCGTGTGTGCGTGCGTTCGTTCGCGCTCGTGCCTCGTCTGTTCATCGTTTCGTCGTCGTCCTCCAACTCCAGAGCGCCGTCCGGGCGCGGCTCCACGCCAAAACTCTCTCCGCCTACGCGTCGTCGTCGGCGCGTTTGCGTTTTGCAGGCTGTCGCCCTCTGATGTTACACTCCGGGCACCCATGGGGTCCGTCGCTCTTCGTGCGGCTCTTCACCAGCGCTCTCCACTCGTTCGCGCACGTCTCACACTTCCACAGCGCCTTGTAGTTCGACCCGTACGACACCTCCGAAGGCTTTTTGTCCTCGTCGACGTATTCCTTGTGGAGCTTCTTCCCTCGCTCGCCGTTCTTCTCGCACCACGTGAGGAAGTTGCTCACCGGCGGATTAGTCTTACACTGTGGGCATCCGCTGGGTGTGACCCCGTTCGTGCGGCTATTTACCTTCGCTCTCCACTCGTGCGCGCACGTCCCACACCTCCACAGCGCCTTGTAGTGCGACCCTTTCGTCACCGAGGTCGGGTGCTTGTCCGTGTCACAGTACTCCTCCCTGAGCTTCTTCCCTCGCTCGCCGTTCTTCTCGCACCACGTGAGGAAGTTGTTCGTTCGGGACAACACCGTATGGCACCCTTGACCTCTCGAAAGACAGCACTTCGGACACCCGCTGGCTCTGCCACTCCTCGTGCGGTTCATCACCGTCGCCCTCCATAGGTGCTTGCACTTCTGGCACTTCCACTTTGCCTTGTAGCTCGACCCTTTCGTTAGCTCCTGCAGCTTGTCCACCTCGTAGAACTCTCTGAGGAGCTGCTTACCACGCTCTCCGTTCTCCATGCACCAGTCGAAGAACGACTTGCCGCGTCCCTTCTGTACCTTCGCCGGCATGATCTTCGTGCGGACGCGCCAGCGGAAGTGACGACGAAGAGGAGTCGTTGTTCGAGCTGAAAGACTGCCAAAAAAATCTCTGCCACTCGCACAGCAGCAGACGGTTGAAAGCTCGCCCAAACGTCGCGGGGTGTCACTTCGCGCGCCGCGACCGCGATGGCGGCCGCGATGGCGCCCGCGCTGGGGCCGTCGCCGTCCTCGCGGCGACTCGGGGCGACGCCGTCGACGCGCGCGAGGGTCGCGCGCGCGCGCGTCGCCGTCGTCGTTCGCGCGAGGAGCGGCGAGGGCGTCGACGATCGGAGTGCTCAGTCACCGATTCCGACCCCGATCGACGGCGCCGCGGCGGGGGGCGATCCCGCGCGCGTCGCGCCGCCGCGCCCGCGCGCGCGCGCGACCGTCGTCGGCACCGTCCTCGGCGCGGCCGCGTTCGCGGTCGCGTCGCGCGCGCCGATCGCGCGCGCGGCGCCGCCCTCCACCGCGACGGCGTCGACGTCGACGTCGACGTCTCGCGCGCATTCGCGCCACGACGAATCGTCGTCGTCGTCGTCGTCGTCGTCGTCGCGCGGCGCGACGCGCGTCGCCGACCTCGCGAGCGCGCGCCCCGTGGCGAAGAAGAGCGGGCACCGCGGCGAGCTCTCGAACCCAACGCTCGATCCGTCCTCGCTGTCGTGGACGTCGTTCGCGACCGCGGTGGAGGCGACCGCGCGCGAGGCGGAGCAAAAGCTCGCGACGCAGTTCTGGCTCTACCTCACGATACCGGTCGTCGCCGGCGTCCTCAACTGGCTCACGAACGCGCTCGCGGTGAAGATGATCTTCTCCCCGGAGGAGTACGTCGGGCTGGACATCAAGCGGTGGCCGGAGACGCCCGCGGGGTTCTTAGGGTGGCAGGGCATCGTGCCGTGCAAGGTGCGGAAGATGTCCGAGACGATGGTGGACCTGATGACGAAGCGTCTGTTGGACGTCCGCGAGGTGTTCGGAAGGTTAGACAAGGCGGCGTGCGGGGAGTTGTTACTCCCCGGCGTGGACGCGATCGCGAGCGGGGTGGTGGGGGATATAACGGAGAAAGGGAAGGCGTTACACTGGGTGAAAAGCAGCGGCGCGTTGGCCGTCGCGGGAAAGAGCGCGTGGCTGACGAAGCGCGCCGCCGCGCTCGCGCGTCGGCACGGCGCGGAGCTCGTCGCCGCCGTGCTCGGGGAGATGCAGCAGCGCGTGCCGGAGGTGTGGGACGTGAAGACGCAGGTCGTGGGCGCGATGACGCGGGATAAGGGCATCATCGTCGAGCTGTTTCAGCGGTGCGGCAGAGAGGAGTTCATCTTCATTCGAAGGAGCGGGCTGTATTTCGGCTTTCTCTTCGGCATCGTGCAGATGTTCCAGTGGCTGCTGTGGGACCCGTGGTGGAGCCTCGCCGTGGGCGGCGCCGCGGTCGGCTACGCCACCAACTGGCTCGCGCTGACGCTCATGTTCTCGCCCGTGAACCCGGTGCGGCTGCCGTTTGGGCTGACGCTCCACGGCGCTTTCCTGCGACGGCAACACGAGGTCTCGGGCGAGTTCGCGGAGCTCCTGCGGCGACGCGTCCTCACCGCGGAGCTCATCTGGAAAGAGATTCTGACGTCGCCTGGCACACGGGACGTGTTCAGGGACATCCTGCGGCGGAAGACGATGGACCAGATGGAGAAGGCGCGCGCGTTCGACCCCGCGATCGGGCTCGCCGCCGCCGTCGTCGGCTCCAAGTCGTGGAACGCCGTCGTCGACGCCGTCGCGACGAGGGTCGAGGCGGACCTCCCGAAGCACCTCCCGCTCGTGTACGCGTACAGCGACGAGAGGTTGGACCTGGAGAAGACGCTTCGGGAGAAGATGCGCGGGCTGAGCGGGGAGGAGTTCGAGGGCGTGTTGCACCCGGTGTTTCAAGAGGACGAGCTGACGTTGATTTTGGTGGGGGCGTTCTTAGGGCTGCTCGCGGGGTTCGCGCAGGCGATTTTCGTGTTTTAAGAAAGTTAAGTTAAGAGAGACGACAGCGACAACGCATCACAGGAAGTTAACGTCGACCGACTGACGGACTGTAGACTAAAAATCAAACTCCAAGAGCTCGCCGCCGAGTTTGACGTTTTCGCCGACTCTCAGCGCCTCGTCCGCGTCTAATCCTTTGAAGTCCTCGCCAACCTTGTTGAGCATCCCTTCCTCTTTCAACTCAGCCTTGATCACGGCTTCTGCCTCGGACCGCTTCGCTTTCAGCTCTGGGTTCAACGCGAACGCGGCGCCGTCCGCGAACGCGCCTTCGGTGTCGGCGAACTGCGCGCGCTCCGTCGCGTTGAACCCCCGCGCGGCGTCGCCAATTTGTAACGCCTCTTCCGCGTCCGTTATCCCCGCGAACCCTCCACCGATCTCGTCCCTTCGGATTTTGGCGCGCTCCGCCGCGCCCGCGAGCTGGTGCGCGCGGTCGCTCTCCTCCGTGTTCGTCGCGCGCCAGTCAAACTTCGTCCAGCCGCGAATGGCGCGTTCGAGCTCCCTCGGCTCAATCTTCCCGTCGCCGTCGTCGTCGACGGCGCGCAGAAGCTTCCCCGCGAGGTCTTCCATGGACTCTCCGCCCGCGGACGTCTCGATCTTCGCGCCCTCGCATAGTTTCACGCGCAGGAAGTCGTTGATCGCGAGCGCGCGGGCGAGCTCTTTCTCGTCCACGAAACCGCTCTTGTCCACGTCGATGTTCGCGAAGAGCGTGAACCACTTCTCGTGGAAATCCTGCATCTTGTCGCCGATCGCCTTCGCTTCCTCGGCGTCCAACAGACCGAGATACCCGCCCGAGAGCTCCGCCTCGATCCTCGCTCTCTCCGCCGCGCCCGCGAGCTGATGCGCGCGGTCGCTCTCGAACGTCTGGATCGCCGTCCAGTCCACCTTGGTCCAGCCGCGAATGGCGCGTTCGAGCTCCCTCGGCTCAATCTTCCCGCTGCCGTCGTCGTCCACGGCGCGTAACACCTTCTCCGCGAGCGTTTCCATCGTCTCCGACGGCGACGTCTCGATCTTCGCGTTTTCGATGAGCTTATTCCGCAGGAAGTCGTTCATCCCGAGCGCTTTCGACAGCTCCGCGACGTTGATCGTCCCGTCGCGATCGACGTCGACGTTGGCGAAGAGCGTGAACCACTTTTCGTGGAAATCCTGCATCTTCTCGCCGATCCGTCGCGCTTCCTCGGGGTCGAGCAAACCGAAATACCCGCCGCTGAGCTCAGCCTCGATCCTCGCGCGCTCCGCCGCGCCCTTGAGCATGTGCTCGCGCGTGGACGCTTCCGTCTGCGTCGGGGTGTAGTCCGTCTTCATCCACCCGCGGATGGCGCGTTCTAGCTCCGCGGGGCCGACGGTTCCGTCGCCGTCGTCGTCGATCGCGGCGAGGACCTTCTCCGCGAGGTCGTCCATCGCGTCGTCCGTGTAGTGATCGATCTTCGCGTTCTGGATGAGTTTGTTGCGCAGGAAGTCGTTCTTCCCGAGCGCGATCGCGAGCTCGTTCTTGTCGATGGACCCGTCTTTGTCCACGTCGAGGTTCGCGAAGAGCGTGAACCACTTCTCGTGGAAGTCTTGCATCGAGTCGCCGACGCGTAACGCTTCCTCCGCGTCCGTTAACCCGACGTACCCGCCGCTGCGCTCCGCCTCGATCCTCGCTCTCTCCGCCGCGCCCTTCAGTTGATGCGCGCGGTCGCTCTCGTGCGTGTTCGTCTTGGCGTAATCGACTTTGACCCACCCTCTGATGGCGCGCTCGAGCTCCGCCGGCTCCACCTTCCCGCTGCCGTCGTCGTCCACCTTTTGAATGATCGCGTCCGCGAGCATGAGCATCGTGGACGGGTCGATCGTCGCCGCGGTCGCGTTGTAAAGAAAAGCCTCGCGCGCCTCCGGGGTGTCGCCCACCAGGTTCGCGTTGACGATGAGCTTGTTGCGAAGAAAGTCGTTCGTCGACAGCGCCTTCGCGAGCTCTTTTCGGTCCACGGCGCCGCTCTTGTCGACGTCGAGGTTCGCGAAGAGCGTGAACCACTTCTCGTGGAAGTCCTGCGCGGATTCGCCGATGCGTAACGCTTCCTCCGCGTCCGTTAACCCGACGTACCCGCCGCTGCGCTCCGCCTCGATCCTCGCTCTCTCCGCCGCGCCCGCGAGCTGATGCGCGCGGTCGCTCTCCTCCGTGTTCGTCTTCTTCCAATCCACCTTCGCCCACCCTCTGATCGCGCGCTCGAGCTCCATCGGTTCAATCTTCCCGCTGCCGTCGTCGTCCATCAGCCCGATGAGCTTCTCGCCCAGCTCCTTCGCCTTGCTCCGCCGCGACTCCATCGGCGAGAACCCCAAGTTTTTGCAAATCGTCCGGCGCAAGAAATCATTCTTCTCCAGCGCCTTGGTCAGCTCCGCGCGGTCGATCGACCCGTCCTTGTCCACGTCGATGTTTGCGAACATCGTGAACCACTTCTCGTGGAAGTCCTGCGCGGATTCGCCGATGCGTAATGCTTCCTCGCGCGAGAGCCCTGTGAACCCGCCAGCCATCTCCGCGCGTATGCGCGCTCTCTCCGCCGCGCCCGCCAGCTGATGCGCGCGGTCGGTCTCCCACGTTTGCGTCGGGGTGTAATCCACCTTCTCCCACCCTCTGATCACTCGCTCGAGCTCGTGCGGCTCGATCTCGCCGTTCGCGTTCGTGTCGATCACCGCGAGGAGCGCCTCCGCGAGGTCGACGAACGCGTTGCCGTCTTTTGAATCGTCAAACTTCGACGCGTCGATCTTTGCGTTTTCGACGAGCCGCGCGCGAAGAAAATGGTTCCTCTCGATCGCCGACGCGAGCTGCGGCGCGGTGACCTTCCCTCGCTCGTCCTTCGGGATGTTCGCGAACATCGTGAACCACTTGGCGTGGAAAT